GTATATATCTATATATATATCTATATCTATATATATATATATATCTATATATATATATATATATATATATATATATATATATATATATATATATATATATATATATATATATATATATATATATATATATATATATATATATATATATATATATATAAACAGTACACACAATAGATAGTAGTAGTAGTAGTAAAAAAGATATTTCTATATAATAATTAAAATTTAAATAATATATCATGTTAATATTGATGATTCATTTATAATAATCTAGATGTGTGTGTCCCTCTCTATACACACACACAAAGTTTTATTAAGACTTAGGTTAGTAGTTTAGACACAAGGCAAGATTTTTTTTTACAGCACATAATATTTTACATATTTTTCAAGATGCGAGTATTCAACTTAAGGTGTCATTTAAATGCTTAATTAGGTGAAAGTTTTTAAGCAAATCATTGTATAACAATTGTTTGTTGTGTAGCCAATAAAAATGTTGGATAAGGGTTTAATAATATTGACCTTAAAATGTTTTTTTTATTTAATTTTTTATAAAAATTAGTTTTTATTCTACCCAAAGTAAAGCAAATAAAACTTTCTTACAGATAACAAAATATTATCGGACACTATGAAATTTTCCTTGCTTTGTGACATCATTTTGGGTAATATTTGCAAAACGAAATAAAAAACATTACTAGAATATTTTTGACTTCGACTAAATATATATTTTAAATCTATGTATAAATCAGCATTTTGGAATATGGATTTATCACCCTAATTGTCATTTCTGCATACAAAAAAGTACTAAAAACACATGTAACAACAAGCGTTTACACACACACACCAAACAAACAGTAGATCGATATCTCAGGTAGGCATGGGCCGGTTTAAGATTCTGACGGTATGATAACCTTGGATAAAAGTGTCACAGTTTCACGATATTGTGACTTGGTTACTGCTCTAAAATAAGTTCTTTTTAAATGTCTTTGAACATAATATATTTTATTTTAAGAAACATTTTTAATATTTTGGAACCGTAAACACATCAGGCTAAATAATGTATTGTTTTTCTTTTCGGCTTAGTCCCTTTATTTATCAGGGGTCGCCACAGTGGAATGAACTGCCAACTTATCCTGCATATGTTTTACGCAGCGGATGCCCTTTCAGTTTATATCAGTTTTATGTCTTCTAAATGCAAATTTGATCACTGTTTTGGAGCGCACTAGCTTATTGATCTCTTAACAATACTGATTCTAACATCTATAGAACTTTATTTTAATTTCATGGGACTTTTAAAAATGTATTAATTTCATAATAATTTTGTTTTCGACTATATACTTATAACAAGCTTCTCTTTTTTTCTAAAACAGTCTGGCTTTGAGTGCCGCCTCCAGTGTATGAAAGCCTGTAGTTGTTGAGTTTACCAGCCTGATCAGTTTTACAACACTTTGTTTAGTAAATGTCTCATGTTTCTTTTCTAATTCATCTCTGTCACTTCAAAGAAAAGCCATCGCCGCCTCATGATAGAGTCCGGTGAGATCTGTGTGACACTGGCTCTGAACTGACATCTGCACATCTCTTCTGTCTGAACTGCTGTCCGTCACCATGTCACATATACCCGGCAGCTCGGTCCGGGACCACATGAAATGGGTTAGTTTTCTCTCTTTCTGCTTTAATTGACCTCCAAAATCCTGTAAAGCTGACTACGCATGGGCCTGTATATGCAGTATGATAATCTTGGATAAAAATTTCACGGTATTGTGATTACTGCTCTAAAATCTGCTCTTTTTAAATGTCTGGGTGAAACAACAACTACTTTTTTCCCCTTTGAACACAATATTTATTTAATTTAAAGAAACATTTAGCATATCTCGGAGCAGTAAACATGTCATAATAATAAATTCAAATAAAATAATTCAAATAAATCAATGATTTCTGCTGTCTTTATTAGTTTTTAAAAATGCAGATGTTTTATATAATGGGCTGACCAGTAGCTTTTGATTTGGAGGCTCCTTTTCTGCCTGGACATACTGTTGCCCTAAAAAAAAAACCCATATATTTATTACTGAAAATATTTGTGGTTTTAGAACCTTAAATTTTCCAAACCGCGGGAAACCTTGAAACTGGTTATCGTCTCATGGCTAACTAGGACAATGCTGGAAAAATATGAGATGTTGTATTGCGATAACAATAAAAATTACGATTAAATATTTACATATTGAAATGCAATTTTTATTAGCTATTATTTTAATCCTTTCAATATGTGGTTACACTTTACAATAAGGTTCATTAGTTAATGCATTTACTTACATGAACTAATCATGAACAACACATGTACAGCACTTATTAATCATAATCGAACATTTACTAATGCATTATTAACATCCAAGTCCGTGCTTGTTAACATTAGTTAATGCACTATGATTTAACATGAACTAACAATGAACTACTGTATTTTCCTTAACTAACGTTAACTAACATGAACAAATACAGTAGTAGATGTATTGTTCATTGTTTGTTCATGTTAGTAAACACATTAATTAACATAACTAATGAACCTCATTGTAAAGTGTGACCAAATATGTAATGATCATATTAAAACAGGTTATAGATACTATGCAGTGCTGTTATCTAGCTGGGGAATATTTTCATATATTGGCATTGTATGACAGCAAATTTCCTTGATTATTAGGCTTGAATGAGAGTATACTTCCTAGAGAGTATAGTTCCAACTTTTCCTTTTCTGTCGGTCTTAGTATATGATGTAACTACAGAAAGCCCTGTTTTAAATAGGAAAATTATTGAATTATCGCATTATTATGGTCATTATTGAGCAAGATGCTAATGGTCTAATCCGATTCAATGATCTATGCTAAGCTAAGCTAAAAGTGCTCCCGCTAGACACAGAGATTAGCTGAATGAATTTAATAATGATCATACTTAACTGTTTATTTCTAGGGTAGTTGTAAAATGAGCCTATTTTCAAAAAAATAGTGGAAGTGTTGCTTTAAGGTGAAAACATATAGACTTTAAAACACCATGAATGAGCGAAGACCTCAGAGGATGTTCTGACTTTTTTTTTTCTCTCTCGTCTCGACACCTAATTTATAAGGTAATAAGAACCTATTTGATTGGTCAATTTTGGGTTGAAAACCTATTTAGGCAACACAAATTCTGCACGTTGACTCGCATGCTTTTCCGCAAACACAGAAAAATGTAATTCAACGTGTAACGAGGCTGAGCATTAAAACGACACGAACCGAAACCAAAACTTTTAAAAGTGAGACTTTTCTTCCTTTCTTTTGTCCGTTCTTTCTTAAAGTGTATATTATTTTTCTATTTCATTACTGATGACTGCTTTGCAGCTTTCAGCATTGAATTGAATGATTTATTATATTAATTTGTTTGTTTTGTAGCAGAACTATTATTCACTAAATTGACATGCATATAAAAACAATAGTACAAAATAAATATTTCTTACTACAATGCTTCATTTGTGTTTGATGCAAACCATCAATTTATTTTCCATAAAGTAACAGTAGGACTTCATATAGCAGATAACTTACATTAATGCACATTCAAGGCAGCATGATGATGAGAAATATAATTCATTATTAGTATTATTGTCATTATCGTCATCATATACACTTTTTTTAATGATTCAACATTCATTTTGGAATTATTGCACACTATTAAGACAGCAGCATTAGTTAGATAGTTGTTTCTGGGTTTCGTTAGTCCCAATTGACGTTGTTTTCAAATACAATAAATCCCTTAATATACAACTTGTCAAATATATCATTCATTTTTGGTGGGTGCTCCTAAATTTTTTCTGGTGCTCCTAAATGTTTCAGGTTGGGAGCACCGGTGCTACCAAGTTAGAAAGTTAATTTCAAGCCATGCATTGTATAAATAATTAAATGCAATTAATTCTTGTTAAATCTACTAAGACTGTAGAATTTGATTGTAATGCATTATTGTGCACCTTCTGTTAGGCTGCTTTGAAATAATAATTATTGTGAAAAGCACTGTACAGATAAACTTAAATTGAATGGTTTTGTCTTTGCTCTGTTGTTTTAAGGCAGGGCTGTTGGGATGTGAAGCCGTATTGTCCAGCATGGCACTGATGCAGGCCAGCTCCATCGCTGCTCCCAAGAAGATGATGTCTCCGCTGGGTCCGGCATCTGCTCACGGGTCTGGCCAGAGGGATATGCAGGAACGTGGGACACAAGGACACATGGTCTTACCCACCAGCATGACCTGTCCTCCACTGGTTAGAAGACACCTTAAAGCTATACTTGCAATTTGTTTATTTGTATAGCGCTTTTCACAATAACTATTGTCTCATTAGTTACCAGTGGTGGAAAGAGTACTGAAAAACATACTTGCCCAAAAGTACCATTACTTGCCCAAAAATGTAGTGCAAGTAGAAGTATCTGTTGTAAATATTACTTAAAGTATGTGCAAAAAGTAGCTCTTTTAAAAGTACTCAAGAGTAGTTAGTAGTGAGTATTACACTGTGAAAAGTTGATACAGGGATGTGTAAACATAACATTCTGTTGTGCATTCAGGCCCCGTTTACACTAGTGTGTTTTAGTTTTAAAACGGCGTTTTAGAATGAAAACGATCCGCGTCCACACTCGCGTTTTACCCAGCGTTTCTGAACAGCTCTCCGTCCACACCAAAACACTGAAAACGCACATCACGTGACCACACACACTCTCGGGCAAGCGCTGCAGCCCATCTACCCAGATGACAGCTCTGCTAGTCGAACTTCTCATCAAGCATCTCCCGCTGGATCTAATCTCACTATATTTATTAAACGTGATATTTCATTCATCTTGTTGTCTTTATCTAACGACATATTCCCTGACTTTGGTCATTGGAATCTATTACTTGTTCACAGGTAACGTGTTTTGGCTGAGCGCAAAGATAAGTTAATGATTAATGTAACCACGTAGCCTACATTCTGTATATTGACTGATCGCTTGCCTTTATTTCCTATAATGTATAAACTTAATAATGGCTATTATCGATAAGTAAAACTGATATTCAGCAAAAGAGAGGGTGTGTTTCGTATTTTCACTGAAATTGAAAGGAGGCAGTTGTTATCGGCTCCGTTTTGTTATAAATATCCACATAATGAAGATGACGCTCATATTATGCAGCGCGACGCCTCAACATTTCTGCTGTCTGTTAAGTTGCTAATATTAAAATGAAGATAGACAGTTCCTTAAATCATGTTTACATTATTTTGTTGAGAAAGTGAAACAACGTAGCCAGGGTGATGTGAATGAAGTTATAAAGTACACTGTTCCCTTTGCTGATTTACCCGTGTCCTCTATAGTCTGTTATCAAACTGAGAAGAAGAGACTGCAGCCTTGATCAAACTTGCGAAGTCTGAATTTACAAGGAGAGGATGCGGGACTGAACTGTGTGTGTTAAGGCTGATTTATACTTCTGCGTCAAACGCCGGCGTATGCTACGGCGCTGACGCATAGCCCTTCGCCGTGGCCGTCAGCGTGGCTGACGTGCACTTCTCAAAAATTGTAACTACACGTCGCAACGACGCGTAGCGCAAGCTCTGTGATTGGTCGGCTTGGTAGTGCTGACGAGTCTGGGCGGGACCGAGAGCCGCGCGAATGGTGCGAGCCTGATGGAGCGATTTGTTTACAAGTGTGGAGTCCCGTGAAGGAGCTCCGGATGGAAAGTTTTGTTTTGTGTTTACCTCATAGTTAAAGTTGCTGCACGTCCGCCGGTTCCTGCCTCAAAATGAGCGAGTTTGAGCCACTTGTACAACCAGGAAGTGTTCAGGAAACGCAAAACAGAAGCGAAGAAACTCGACACAGAGGAACAATTACACCTCACTGCCAACTAGCGTTTCGGAAGTGTTAATGCAGAGCAACAGAGACAGCGCGCAGAAGTATAAATGCACAGCCACGCGCGTTGCCTGCGCCGTGAGTTACGCCGGTCACTTGACGCAGAAGTATAAACCAGGCTTTAGGCTACTTAATATTGAGGAAAAGCCCCAATCAGAGAGGCGAATGTCTGCAGCCCTGCCTCCGTTTTCAGATGTCTCCGTTTTCCATCATCCATATTGAGACGGAGCAGCAGCGTTTTAGAATGAAAACGGCCTCTAGCGTTTTCTAAACGCTCTGTTTTCGGTGCTCGAGAACTCTGGCGTAGTGTGGACGGTTGGCGTAACCGTAGCAAAACTTATGCGTTTTCAAACTAAAACGCACTAGTGTAAACGGGGCCTTCCTATATTCGTTTGTTCCTTTTAACCTTTCTTCTATTGTTCATTTGTTCTGTCCTTCATTCATTTGTTTGTTCATTCCTTTATTCATTTGTTCTTTCCTTCATTCCTCCTTTCGTTTCGCTCATTCATTCATTTGTTCGTTCGTTCATATTTTTGTTATAAAAAATAAAAACCTTCGGTCCTTGGTTCGTTGGTTGGTTGGTTAAATACTTCATTCCTTCATTCGTTAGGCATTCGTTCATCATTGCGTGTAAACATCTTCTTGGACATTTTTAAAGCTTCCAAAAGGTTTGCTGCATTTATAAATCGCCCATGTCTTGAGGTTGTTCAGTATGATGCGATTTGCTCTGTGTGCAATTTGATTGGACAGGAAGCGCAGGACAGATTTTTCTACTTTAGCAAGTAGAAACTTGATGTGTGTATTGCCTCTTCTTGTTGAATCGCTAAATCAATTTTAAGTCACCATGGACAAAAGCATCTGCTAAATGACTAAATGTAATGATTTGTGTGTTTGTGTGCCTGCAGCTTCTGCGGAAGGAGGCTGATTTTACAGCTCCCCGACTGCTGGATGAGAAGGAAATGAGACCCAGTGAAGACATGCAGCTGAAAAAAAAGACCAGGAAGTCGGGAACACCCTCAAAAGTACGGGAGCAGGACGGCCCGGCGGGGAAGGTCAGTGTGGGGGTGGAAGAGACCCGTTTTACTGTCCCGTCAATGGAGGTTGCAAAAAGTGCTAAGAAATAATCCCTTTTTAATCTTTTATTACATGTTAACAATGTAAATCCAATTAAATCCACTCAATTGGTAAACAAAGCAAGTCTCTCATGTAATAGATCTACTAAAAGACAGAAAATATTGCTATATTGTAAATAAATGATGTGAACATATTCATATTAATATATAACTAAAAAACTGAATAAATATAACTGTACACACATTTACACGAGTAAATAAATAGACTCAATGATGGGCCAGAAATCTGCGGCCTAATAATAATATGGAAGGATTCACCAGTACAGGATGTCCAGTCATTTTTGATAAGATAGCATAGCGTTTTGAGGTTTTCAGTGTTAGTTAAGAGCTTCTGCTGGTGTTTATGAAGGTGTTTGTTCAGATGTGATGTTGCAGGCGTGTATTGGGCATCCTGTTCATGTTAATGGTGTGTTTGTGATGTTGTGGGGGAGGGGGGTGGAGGTTTCGGTGGGGTGTGGGGCGTCTGTAAGGGAGGGAACACACACACTGTCTGTCACACAATAACTGTTATTGTGTGTTTGCACAGCAGCGATTTAAAGGGCTCTGTAGGGGTAAAGCTGATTTGATGCTTGCTGTTTGGTTAGTTTCTGTTTAGGATTTTCATTTTGTGTGCGAGTCATATAAGAGAGAGTTACATTTAGTTTAATACTAATGTTTATTGCAGTTTAATTCTGTGCAGCACACACAAAAACATGTCTGTGCATGTGTGTCTTCAGGTAGGGACTTTTACAAATGTCATCTTCTTTTGGAAATTAAATATATTAAAAAGCACAAGGACATCTTTTTTTTTTGAAAATTAAAAAATGAAATTTTTTGAAAATTAAAGACAATAGAAAAAAAAAATCTAAATTTTTCCGAGTGATGTTTACCAAAGATTTTTTACTGTATTATCTTAATCTAATTAACATAGTTATCACTTTAAATTGCACTTTAAGCTGAATATCTATGCATTACAAAATAAATAGTAAAATATTATATACTGTCATCATGGCAAAGACAAAAAAAAAAAAAAGAAATGATTAGAAATTAGGTATTAAAATCGTTGTTTAAAAATGTGTTGGGAAATTTGTTAGAAAGTTTCTATATTTTATACACAGACACACACATAAATACATACATTTTTAAATGTAAATAAATAGATTTTATTTATATAGACATTTTTAAATATTTGTATTTAAGCTATTTATTATATTTAGTTGTTTAAAATATGAAAATACTTCAAACCGAGTTTTCAATTAAGGCAGGGGTGTCCAAACTCGGTCCTGGAGGGGGCGGTGGCCTGCAAAGTTTAGTTCCAACTTTAATTAGACACACCTGGGCTGCGTCGGAAACCGCCTACTACCCATTGAGTCCTGCATTTGAATTTAAGCGTACTACTTGGCCGTTAGAAAAGTATGTTCTATACAGTACGAATGAAAGGTATTAATGGAATTCAGGCGTACTACATCCGCCATATTTTCATGGTCACATGACCTGCTTATGTCTTGGATTCTCTCGGGGCATCATGGGATAGTGCTGCGTGCATGGAATGCGCACTCCAGAGATTTGCCGGAAGTAGCGAGTTATCCGGGTACTTCTCGCATACTGATTTTTGAATTCGATGAATCCCGTCATACTACTCGGCTTGCATACGGATTTTAGCGTACAGTATAGTATGGAAGTAAGCGGTTTCGGATGCAGCCCTGGCTACCTAATCAAGCTCTTAAGATGCTGTCACACTAGACTTCTCTCCCCACAGACTTCCATTTATACACACACGAATATGTCAGACTCGTGCGACAATTTTCGCAGTTTGCTGCGTTGCAAAGTTCAAGCTTGGTGAACTCTGACCTGCGAAATCGCAACACCTGACTGCATGAGACCAATCAAAGATAAAAACATGACCTCTCTGGAAAGGAATTTAAAATGTGGACCAATCGCTCGCTTATTTATTTGTCTAATCATCTTGTTTAATTCCTTAATTCTGTCGTACGACTGAATTTCGCTAGCTCAAACTTTAGTGTGACTACAGCTTTACTAGGCTTTCTAGAAACATCTATGCAGGTGTGTCTAAAACCTGCAGGACATCGGCTCTCCAGGACCGAGTTTGGGCACCCCTGGTTTAGGGGAACGTGTTAGCTGATAAACTTCACTGTTTGAACTTTTGGTTTCTGTGTTGTATTAAACTGTGGGTCCAGTGGATGTAAATACAAGTAGTCAATTTGTAGATGGGTTTTATGTGACCACCTGTCACATGAGTCACGACTTCACGACTATAAGAATAAAATAATGCTGAATCATAATAGTACTACTACTAATAATAATCAATAAAATAGATTAAAATGCATTTTAATGCCAGGTGTAAAATCATTATCTATGAAAAGTCTCCATGGAAACTCAGTATTTGTTGCTGTGTGTTTTGTTTTCTTCATACATCAATGGTTAATGGGATATTTCTGTTCAGCTCTCTGGTTTTGTCTCTTGTGTTCTGCAGATAAAAGAAAGTCATGCAGTGTAAGAAGGATGTTGTTCAAGTAATGACAGATTTAACTTTTTGTTTTTTAAATAGATTATGCCTTTATTGTCAATAACTTGAATAAATACACAAAAGACACTCAAACAGGGATATTTTTAAAGTCCCGAACATCTTTGATATTACAGAGGCAAACTTGTGTGAACAGAAAGAGCGGCTTAAGAGAGTCATAGCTGTGAATGGACTTTTAAAGTTCTTTGTCCATCAAGAAGCATGTTTTAATTTATTGTTAAGGTGTCATGGTCATGGATCTTCTTCAGTGTATGAGCATATAAATCTTTGTGATGTACATTATTATGGTGAAAATATAATCCTCTATACACAGTTGAAGCCGTACATTTTTGCCCTCCTGTGAATTTAATATTTTCCTTCAAATGTTTCCCAAATGATGTTTAACAGATTTAGGAATTTTTCACAGTATTTCCTTTAATATTTTTTCTTCTGAGTCTTATTTGTTTTATTTCGGCTAGAATAAAAGTAGTTAATTTTTAAGTCATTTTAAGGTCAATATTATTCGCCGCATCAAGCAATGTTTGTTAGATTGTCAACAGAACAAACCACTGTCATACAATGACCTGCCTAATTAACCTAGTTAAGCCTTTAAATGTCACTTTAAGCTGAATACTAGTGTCTTGAAGAATATCTAGTCAAATATTATGTGCTGTCATCATGACAAAGATAAAATTATTAGAAATTAGTTATTTAAACTATTATGTTAGGAAATCTAGCTTCTAGCATCTCTCCTTTAAACAGAAATTTGGGAAATATACAGGGGGGCTAATAGTTATGATGTCAACTGTATGGTAAACATGCATTTTGTTTTATGTGATGCAACATTTTGAGAGCACTCAACTAAAGCTTATTTTAGTAATGCTGTTTTTATTATTTAATAACTGTTCCCATATTATTCAAAAGATTAAATGAAAAGCTGATTAATAGACGTATTGTATTTACCTCAAATGTCAGCCAATGGTGAGTTTTTCAAGATCTTCATTTATGTAAATGTCTTCTGTTATTATTGTTTTGTAGGCCGTTGTGGATGAAAATGGAAACTGTCCACTTTCTAAAGTGCAGAAGAACTTTATCTGTGATCACTGTTACGGGGCCTTCAGAAGCGGATACCACCTGAAGAGACACATCCTCATTCACACTGGTATGAATAGCACAGATAGAAATAGATTTAGAGTGTCCCGGTGGAGCAGTGGGTAGCACAATCGCCTCGCAGCAAGAAGGTCGCTGGCTCGAGCCTCGGCTGGGTCAGTTGGCATTTCTATGTGGAGTTTGTATGTTCTCCCTGTGTTTGTGTGGGTTTCCTCCGGGTGCTCTGGTTTCCCCTACAGTCCAAACACATGCATGAATTAAATATGGTAAATTGGCCGTATTGTTTGAGTGTAAATGCAATAGAGAAAGAATGAGTTTATGGGTGTTTCCCAGTGTTAGGTTGCGGTTGAAAGGGCATCCGCTGTGTAAAACATATGCTGGATAAGTTGGCGGTTCATTCTGCTTTGGTCACCCCTGTTTAATAAAGGCACTAATCCGAAAAGAAAATGAATGAATGAAATAAATTTATGACACTGCTCTCTGGAATATTTGATTCTGATTGGTCAATCATAACATTCCAAGGGTGTGTTTTTCCCCGATAACAACCAATTAAATTAATAATACAGACTCATCTGAGTACTACAAATTATCTGGACATATATACGTATAAATCACTGTTTAAACACAGCTGTTGGACAGAAATGTATGAAATAACCAGGTCTAATGGTGAAGATTTATTAAATGTATTGATTATAATCAGACTTGATATGAACAGTCTGCAGAATCACTTTGATTGACATTCTTCCTTTGTACGGGTCATCAGAGAGGGAAAGCCCCGCCCACTAGTGCCCATCTCTCCCTCATTAGCATAAACATCCCTTCACCATTACGGTTTTGAATCTGCTACTATGCTGGCAGATAGGCATTTGTAGCTCCGCCCTCTTTTGAAAAGAGCACAATCTCATTTGAATTTAAAGCGACAGTCACCAAGATACCACAATTTGAAAGAGAGTTATAAAACATTATTTGTGCTGTATTTTGAGCTGAAAATATACTCACTCAAGGGACATCAGAGACTTTTGCATCTTGTACAATGGGGCGTAATAGGTCTCCTTTAAAGAAAAGTTATTTTGAAACAAGTGCATGTATACAGTTGGAGTTTGCTTGTTTTGACACATTTAGTCTATATATATATGGACAAAAATATTAGAATTATATATATTTTTGGATGAAGCAAGTAAAAATATTTTCTATTGGTCTAACCGGGCCATTAGAAAAAAAAATCCTCAGCTCTGTATAAGGCCCAATCCCAATTCTACACCTCAGCCCAGGTTATCAACCCTGTTCCTGGAGATCGACCTTCCTAAAGAGTTCAGCTCAAACCCTGAACAAACACACCTGAATCAATTAATAAGGACCTGAACAGCACTTGATAATTACAAGCAGGTGTGTTTGATATGGGCTGCAACTGAAATCTGCAGGAAGGTCGATCTCCAGGAACAGGGTTGGTCACCCCTGCCTTAGCCCTTCCCCTTACCCCTACCTCTCGTTTTGTGCGCTCACATGAAGGGGTAGGGGTGTCCCAATTCTCTTTATCTTGCAAGCGGGGTAGATACCCCTTCAAACTGAGATTTTTTTTTTTACGACCACACACGAAATCAAAGGATAAGAAAATTTCCTAAATACACCTGCTACAACAGCAACATAGCTGCACCCAGAAGTCAGGAGATCCACAAATTAGTATTTTTTGTCATTATAATGAATTCTTACAACAAACAAGCACGTTTTAACACGGAAAAATCTAACAAAAAGCGCTCTGGGGTAAGCTCAAATGTATGGTCGGTGCTCTTTGGGTAAGGGATTCATCAAAACAGCAACAAGAATCAGTCCAAGGCACTCGAATAAAGTAAAAAAATTTAAAAAGCCTTTATTCGCGTGGCTAAATCTCTTAAAACTTACGCATTTCGGCAGAAGTCTGCCTTCATCAGGATAACAGTGATCAGGTGCGTCTAGAGTCTCTTTTTAGTACTACGGTCACATGACTCATTTTAACATCTCAAATGGCACTCAAATAATTTAACAAGCAAAGTCTGCTGTCATCATAAATTCGGCATAGAAAATTCAGCACGTTTTAACACATTTATACAGGCGTTCGTGTTTTACTGTCATGCTTTAAAAACACTAAAATAAAAAAGCACTAAATTTGTCCATCCATAATCCATAATAATAACTCTTGTGTAGCAGTCCCACAGCATACTGTCAATCGATGACACTGGAATAACCTGACAGAAAAGTCTAGAGGCTGGGAATGAGCTTTTTAAAGTTTATGTTGTTTTTGTGTGTTTACATGACCACTTCATTTAAAATGAAGAGATCATGATGACATGATGATGACGTGTGCAGGTGCTGTAGGGGTGTCCCATTTCTTAGGGGTAAATTTTGAAACCCTTCCCCATCCACACCCTGTTTCAAGGGAAAGGGGTAGGGGTACAAAAGTAGAATCGAGATTGGGTCTAAGTCTAAAATATCATTTATAATTGTTTTTAAAAGCCTTTAATTAGACCTGAAACCTACAGAAACCCTGATTTTACACACACTTCTATTTTAATCATGTTTGATTTCTCTCTTGTCTGCCTTCCTAACAGGAGAAAAGCCATTTGCTTGTGCAGTTTGTGACATGAGATTCATTCAGCGTTATCATCTGGAGCGACACAGCCTCACTCACACTGGTACGACCTGTTCTGCATCTGCCCTCACACCATTAACAAAATGTCTTTTTCAAGACTGTTTATTTGTATTTAAGGGAATATTAAGGTTTATTCAAAAACAAAAATCCAGTTGCGGAGCAAAAGGCTTCTTAAAGCTGCACTACAGAATACTTATTAGTTACAAAGTTTAATAAATGCATTATTTGAGCAAACACATAGGACAAAAATTAATACTGGAAGGCAATTGCATTCCTAATATCTCAATTCCCTACAGTAGTATTTAGTTTCAGTAATTCAATCAAAACTATCTCTTCTCTGATTGGTGTTTACTGGCAGCAAGAGTGGGGTCAACCTGTCAATCACATGGGATCCTCCAATAGCAATTCAATGGTGGATCAAAATCAAGGGAAGAAATCACATTATTGAAGAAAAAAAAACTACTGCAGCTTAACATTTAACATTACATGCAATATTAAATCAATAGAACGCAATCTGTCTGCACAGGATTTAATTTCACATAGTTCTGTAATGCAGTTTTTATGTCACATCTATTCAATGTATTTCCTCCACAATTTACTGACCATATAATGCCCCAAACTTTCACCCCAGTAGTGTTCTGATGCATTTTTAATCTGCGTTTCATGAAGACACTGTGAAACTTGGCTCGCTGTTTGAGCGTTGCTTTTAATTTGGCATTAGAACAAAGATAGATCTATATAATGCCTTAGTGTATCTTAAAGCAGCTAAGCACTTTTAGGTGTTTCAGGCTCTGCAAGGTTTTGATTCTGTGTAGACGATCATTGAATCTGCCGCTCTGTGCATTTAGGGGTGAAGCCGTATGCTTGTTCCATGTGTGACATGCGGTTTTTCCAACGTTACCACTTGGAGAGGCACAGCCTCACACACACTGGTATGTGCCATTACATTGGACATTTTTTCAAAGTGTTTACTTATACATTATTAACACTCTTTAACATGCAATGTCAGACTTTTAAAACCAAAAACAATGGATTTATGTGTGAGACTTTTGTATATAAAGGCTTAGTTCATCCAAAAATGTAAAATCTGTTATTAGTTACTCAGCTTCATGTTGTTCCAATCTCAGAAGACCTTCGTTTATCTTCAGAACACAAATTAAGATAATCCTGGAGCTCTCTCTCATCCTCCATAGACAGCAAGGGTCCCGAGAAGTTCAGAAAAGGAACCAAAACTTTGTCAAAACAGTCCATGTTACTTCAATGGCTCAACTGTTATCATATGAAGCTCCAAAAAAACTTTGTTCTCCTGTATCTTCTCTCCTGTGCACATTTACTACAAGCAGTTTGCCATATTTCCATTAGAGTCCTTAGTAAACACCTGCTGTAAAAAAATAAATGAGTGAAGAGAGAACCCAGTCCAGGAGACTCGAAACAAGCAGAATTCCTTTATTGAGACGTGTTGGTTAATCTGCAGTCATACAGCGTCTTTAAGATGTGTCCAATGTGTCTGCAAGAGCCTACTAGAGGTCCGCAGTCTGCAAGTTCTTTCACAAGTCTGTCACAAGTCTGAATTAAGACAAAGATTTCATGCCTATATTGTGTTCTTAGGAGGAGGGGATTTGGCTAAACAAAGCATGCAAATTAAGAGTTGTGCTCGGCAGGGTAAACTGCTTTTTCAGGCCTGATCTCATCATGTTCTGGAGACAGAAAACCGCCTGACCAGTTGATCGAAAAGAGAAAACAATAGACACAACCATGCTGTGAAACTGACAATTTGCAGTACTTTGGCTTAGCCTGTTGTTAGAAAGACAAATGGTTAATGTCCCTCCTAGCTGGGATGTTAATAAAATGATATAATTAAAACCAGAGAATATAACTTTTTAGTTATACGTAGATTATTGTTCATTTGGAATTAGATGATAGAAATTTACATTTCCACACACCCTAAGCTGATCTAGGAGATAAGATGTTTACCTTTTTCTAAAATGAGGAAGTGCGCCTGTTTTCGCGATTGATCTCGCCTATACGCCTAACGGCAGAAAACGGTCAAACTACCTGCTCTACAAACAAATGTTTCCAAGACTATACAGACCAAGTAGAATAATATAATAAGAAAATATCAGTTTGCAACATCAAACAGCAAAACGAGCAGTTTTTAATGTCTAAAAATGAATGGAAGTTATTGAGACTGGAAGTGTCGAGCCAAAAAGATTCAAATGGCTGCGCCCGCTCGTCTGCAGAGAATAAGGCGAACAGGCAATCAGAGTCATTTTATTAGTTATTTTGGAACGCAAAGTGAAGTTTCACAAACTAATTTCAAGAGGAGCATGTGATATGATTGACCGCAGCTGGTCCCTCATCTACAATCACTAGTTAGCCAATCAGAATAATCCAAACTCACCATAAGTAGCCAAGCTAAAATTACTCCCTTATCTTCCTTTTCTGAAAAAAAACGTCTATCCACCCCTTATCCCCCTTTCTTCCTTTACCTCAGGGAGCTCTCTGGAACTACCTGATCTTGTATTCATTGACATGCTCTATCGACCAAGCGAAAGCCCTCGGCTCAATTATCTCCGAGCTCAGGGTTCTCTCCTGAAATAGCATGCCAAACCTGCTATCATTTGTCAGACAATATCTAAGTGTGAAATCTTGAAGTGTTCTTGGAGCTTCGTTTGATTCCAGTTGAATCAGTCTCCACTTTCCTTCCTAATTTGCAATTGCCTCTCTGGTTCTACCGCTAACTGTATTACAAAAAAAAAAAAAATTGCTAATGATTTGCTTCTTAGACTTTACATACCTGAAACTTGCCTACAGAACTTATTCATTGTTGCTCTTTTAGTTGTGTAAATTGCTTCCTTGTCCTCATTTGTAAGTCGCTTTGGATAAAAGCGTCTGCTAAATGACTAAATGTAAAATGTAAATGAATCACTTCAGTTCTGGACTCGTCTTGGGATCCTTGCCGTCTATGGAGGATAAAAGAGAGCTCCAGGATTTCATCTAAAACACCTTTATTTGTCTATATTCTGAAAATGAACGAAGGTCTCTGTAGATTGGAAAAACATCCTACAGAGTGAGAAGTTAATATCAGAATAAACAAATTCTTTGAATACAAAAGTCACACACACAAATCCATAGATTTCAGGAATATTTTCTTCTCATTTTAGAATGTTTATTTAATGGTAAAATACTGTAAATGGCCATTCACGTGCAGTATGCATATTCACATGCAAAAACACAAATCAAAACGAGACACCTCTGTCATGTTGCTGTCAAATAAAACATTGCCAACTCGCTACTGTAAACAAAAACTCATAATGCTTGAGTTCTTCTTCAGTCCACAGCTGACATGTGGCGATGCATGTAAGCGATGAAATTCTTTAAACATGATATTCTGTCTTAAAAATGCAGCGCTCATGGGAATGGCACTGCAAAAGACGCAAAACACAAGCCTAACTGCTGTGCACGTTATTACACATTAGCACATTAGAATAAATAAAAGAGTTTTGCGTAGCTGCTCTCATGAGCCATTTCAGTGTAATAATGGGTGTTTAAACAGAGTTATAATTCATTAAACGTCTACACAGAATAAAATCTTTGTGTTGTTGTTGATTTTTTTTTTCAGACCCAAGTATAATGGCAATCCAATACTTAGGAGTACTTTTTTGTAGAGTTAGTCAGACAATGTTTGAGCCGTTTTAAAGTTGAACTAGCCTCAAATTAGATTCAATTCAATTTAAAGTCATGCTAAGAATACTTTTTTAGTAGGTTTTTTTTTACACAAGATATTATTTTGAAAGTGTGTGAGTAACTTGTGCGTCTTTTTTAAAGTGAAAATTCACCCAAAAATAACCATTCTGACTTGTTTAAAACCCCTTATGCATTCCTTTCTTGTGTTAAACCCAAAATAAGTATTTTGGAAAATGTTGGACACTCTGTAACCATTGACTATTTACCATTTTTCATACTATGAAAGTCAATGATTACAGTTTTTCAGCTTTCATCAAAATATCTTGTATAAATATCTATTATTTAAATATGTAACACAACAAAGACACTCATAAAGATTGGACTCCACTTGAGGGAGAGTAAATATTGAGTGAATTTTCATTTTTAGGTGAACTATCCCTTGAATACAATACAATGGCTTGCTAAGTGACCTACATCTCCACTTGCTGTGCTTCTTGAATAAGCTATAACATGATATTATGCTGAATTTTGAGTTTGTAGAGAGTGTATTGACCTTTTGCTCTGCATTTAGGGGTCAAACCGTACGCTTGCACCATGTGCGACATGAGATTTTTCCAAAGATACCACCTTCAGCGACACAGCCTCATTCATACGGGTACAAGTCCTCTCTTACCCACTGTGCTGCTGCTACTTCTGCATTGCTTTTATTTCTTTGACCGGCATTTGTCTGCAGTTCTGCAACTTTCTGCTTTTGCTGAGAATCCCTGCACATTTGTTGCTCTTCTTAGCATGCTAGATATCGTCTGCATGACATCTGCTTTGTCTTTGCGGCAATCACACGTCCCTGTTCATGCGTCATCTTTAATTTTCACCTCTACCTTTGAATGGAGCCCTGCTGACTTTAGTTCTGACAGCTGATTTCCATGAGCAGATGTACGTCAGTGAGCTCCGCTTCAGTACTGCACACTAAATAAGGCTCCCTATTTTATGTTGTGCCTTTTTTATCTCACTGATTTTGAGGCAAATGTTTGTTCAGTTTGACCCAGACAATCCTTGTTCATGGGGATATTTAGTCTTGGAAGTAATTTTACAGTAAGAAATGCTTCAAGTCTGTCAGTCTTAAGCCCTGATGTGCTGTTTCTTTTACTTAAGGGTAAAAACGGTTAGAAATATGGCCTTTCATGATATTTATTTTTTTGTTGTACAATATATTGCACCCAAATACATATTACAAAAACAATATTATTGTGATTTTTAAGACTACTTTGTCACTTCTTATATAATGCCAGAATGACAATATAATAGCACACATATTGCAATGTGATAATTTGCAATAGACACATCGCAGGATATGCAATGTTAAGTTTTTCAAATTTATCATTTGCATTTGTTTATTCGGAATTGTATAACAATTTTAAAAGCATTCTGTCATAGGAAATTGTACCACTTGTGACTAACAATGATTCATTTTATATATTTTTAAAATATTTTTATCATTCAATTACTGTACTTGAATACTGTTAGAATCTGGAAATGATAAAACACGCTGAACATTTCTGTTGGTGATTTAGTTCACTCAAAAATATTTGTTAAATTATATTTATTTCCAGAGATCTTCAGAACACAAATAGAGTTTTTTTAGATGAAATCCTGGAGCTCTCATCCTCTATAGGCAGCAAGAGTCCTGAGGCACTCAAAGTCCAGAAAAACGTTGTCAAAAAAGTGCATGTGTCTTCAGTGGTTCAACTAATCATACAAAGCTCCAAGAGTACTTTTTTGTACCTTTTGTTCACCTGTGTCATCTTTGCGTCAGTTTAAGGGGCATGTTAGACCAGTAGACCTCAACATTTTTATCACCACAGACTGGTCCAATTTTACCACAGACCGGGGGGTGGGGTTGGAATGGTGGTTCATAGGTTGCTAGGCAACCATTTTCACAGAAGATGACAAGCTGACAAAACATTGCTTTAGCTCTGATACAAGTTTGGTAGATAATTACTTCTACCAAAATGTGTTTATTCCATACAAAGTATGAAGCTGATGAGTCAGTTTTTGATATGTGACTCACGTTGCACTCGCGACATTCATTCAACTAGGTTTGTCTGGAAGGTACGAGCGTGTCACATCACTTGCACGCGCAACCTGCACACCTCCATTGGAAATAACAAACTTGCGCGAAAAAAAGGCCTAAAACCGCCGTCATTTGCGATGTCCAGCAGTTGATCTTCTTGCGCAGACATGCTGGATTCATCTGAATTGTTGACAAATAGGTTGCGGATCTATTCCTTGGCGGTTCGCATGTCCTTTACTGGACCTTTTCCGCTTGGCAAGGAAACTTTCCAAAGACGTCTGTTTCTTACTCATTTTGCAACTTGTGGGTTTAATTGGGACTGCAAGTGACTGAGATGTAAGCTAGAGAATACAATCATTTTTCAAAATGAAAGATTGTTCAGACTCAAATAAAAAATTAAATGGAAATAATTAATGTTTTCTTCTTCTTCGCCTGGTACCAATTGATCCACAGACTGGTCTCGGTCCACAGCCCGGTGGTTGAGGACCACTTTGTTAGACATAGTAGTAAGAAATATTGCCATTACAGTCAGCAGTGTAATATGCAAGCATCATAATGCCTGAAGTAAACATGCACCCCAACCTGATGTGGAATATATAATTAAACAAAGTCATCAATAGATTGTTTTGGTGCACAAAAGTGTTCTTGAAGCTTCATATGAACCTCTGAAGTTACATAGATTGTTTTGACAATATCTTGGTTTCTTTTCTGGACTTTGAGTGTCTCTTGTTGCCTATGGAGGATGAGGGAGCTCTCTGATTTCATTTGAAATGTCTTGAGGAGATTGGAACTAAATAAGCGTAATTAATACCAAAATTGTAATTTTGGGTGCACTCTAACTAAGAATGAGCATTAATATAATGGGTTTGCATTATTAGCAGGAAGATTGTAAGCTGGCACCACATTAAGCTGCGCATTCATCTTTTTGTGCTTTTTATGTGCTTGCAAGCATCTTTTGCTCTCTGTTCTTGTGACGCATGCAGTTTCAGCAACATTCAGCCTTTATGTTGACGTAAATGTGTTGCATATATATAAATCTTAAGTATATTCTGCTCTGGTCATTCAGGGGTGAAGCCGTATGCTTGCTCCATGTGTGACAGGCGTTTTTTCCAACGTTACCACCTCCAGAGACACAGCCTCACTCATACGGGTACGAGCCGTCTCTTTTTACTCTTTGTATTCACCTGACTACACCAATGCACAGCTTGGCACTGTTGCCATCTTATTTGTGTTTGTCAGTATTCTCAGACAAGCCTTTGGGCCTGTTGCCTTTGCAATGAAGACAGTTGTATTTTTTTGGACTCGGTACTCAGTATTTCTAAAAAGTTTTCATAGCCAAAATTTTCATAGCCAAAATGCATATATGATTTTATTAATCAAGTTCTGGCTTCAACAAACTCGAGTTTGGTAATAGTTACAGACCATGCATTGGGGTGTTGGACATACTGAAATCCAAACTTAACACTACGATGCTCTGTGTTTAGGGGTGAAGCCGTATGCTTGTTCCATATGCGACATGAGGTTTTTTCAGCGTTACCATCTGCAGAGACACAGCCTCACCCACACGGGTATGAGATGAGGGATCAATGCACTTTAAACATGTATTAAACACTTTAGTTCTCAGCCTTCACTGCAGGCACAGTCTTCATGGTTCTCCATGGCCATTTTGGCTATTTAATGCCATGGATTAAACATTCATTGTCCTCAATTTAATTGCTCCCTTAAATTATTACTTTGTTTATTTAGAGATTAAGCCATTTGCTTGCACAATATGCCACATTGACTTTTTCCCCCCATCCGCCCCATCATTTCATAATTTCCCCAAATTCTGGCCCATTCTCAGGGAACTATGCTATATTTTCAACAAAGCATTCATTACTTTTTTTCTAATTGAATCCTTTTTTTGCATTGAGAGACCATTTTGGGGTGCAGATCTCCACAGTGTTCATGTTAGTGGTCAGCCAGTGTATTTTCCTCATGCCTGACCCACATGGGTTGTCAGCGTCAATGCTTCCTATTCACTTTGAATGGGTGACTTTGATCATTGTCAAGCTGAATTGTGGATCCGTCGGTGCCGCGTCAGTGGCGTTGCTCACTGCAGAAGTTGGGAATTTTAAAACTTTTCAAGTGCCATGCATCAGCCAATCAGATTGCTTAATGCAAATATAGTTTAAAAGTGGTAAACAGGATGAATTTAAAATGGGAGAAAACTATTATTGCGGTGGGCAATCACCCTGTCCTTTATGAGCAATCTTTTTATATTTATATACTTCAGGCTTGTGCAAAGTCGGGCCTGTGTCCTGCAATGTTTAGTTCCAACCCCAATCAGATACACCTGTGCTGGCTAATCAAGCTCTTACTAGGCTTTCTAAAAACATCCCTTCAGGTGTGTTGAGGGAAGTTGAAGCTAAAATCTGCAGGACGCCGGCTCAAGGACCGACTTTGGACACCCTTGATATACTTGAATTTATAATAGACCTTGAAGGAGGTGGCAGAGGCGGTTGGTGGTTTTGATGTGTATCGGACCCTTAAATGACAACCATACATATGATATACCACAAAGAATAGCGCTCCATCAGCCAGTAAAATGCATAATAAAAATATTAGGTTAAATTTCTTATAGGAAATATTTACTTTTCAGTGGTTGTGATTTGATGACGAGCACATTACCGGCAATTGTTGATGCTGACACCCGTGTGATTGTACCGTTATCAGCTGGGTTTTGTTGGTCTGTCAGTCACCGTTGACTAGTGTGTTTGGTGTTTTCCACATGCCGCTTCTTGTCGGGAAATGAAGCACTCAGTCAAGTTTTCTATATTTTGTACATTGGATTCCACTTTAATGAAAACATACTAAACAGACTCGGAAAACGGCATGTTTTACTAAAGATTTTAGACCTAGGGTGCCGCCATCTTGGAATATCGCTGAGGGTTGGTTCTGCTCCCTCAGCTGAACAGATACAGGGGATGTACTGAACAAGGAGACTGTAAAGCCTAATTCAACCCAATGTGTGAAGTTGTGGATGTGGAGCTGCAGCAAATACAAGCATCAGATGTGTAATGTCTATATAAAATATATATTTATTCTATTTTTATTTTTTTTTACTTTTTAGTTACTGATAATTTGATGCGCTTTTATTCACTCTCTGTATTACGCTGCCTTACTGATTAATGTGTTTGTATACATCCATGTACGCCTGTATCCAACGCGAGGCGACAACACAGTTGGGTTTCATAGGTGCTGGTTGTTAGGCGTCGGCTTGGTGTGTCTCCACTCCAACTACACCAATTATTAACTCCACCAGTATTTTTAGATTTGAAGACCCTCAGAATATCTTCTGCTAGGAATACATGACCATATTAAATATCAAAAATAAAGAACCAACCCCTGCTTTAAACAAACAAAGAAGCAGTTTGTTTTACATTTTCATGTGTTCATGTTTTATCGCCACTTTAATGCAGATGGGTTTCATCAAATCAACATTAAACAGATTTTTTTTTCAAAGTAGGGCATTTTCAGGGTATGTAGAAACAAATGCACAGACACACCGATATATGGAAGCATCGTCTCGTAGTCGACGAGAGGTTTGCAGAACGTCTATTTACTCTTCAAACAATGTCTACTTTGACCCTTAAACACTGTAGCTGAAACTGAAGAGTTTGGTTTGTGTTGGAGACAATCTGAGAAGATGCTGTTTTCTGAGCTGTGGAACCAAATCCGCTTTCCATGGACTTTCAACCAATGAGAACTTATTTCATTATTACCGCCTGTATATTGATATATAACTTGTTATTTACATGTCATTTTAATAGCAATAACGGTCTTTTTATGAGCTGTGGAAAATTGTACATATAGGTGCCCCTTGCACGCCTATAGCATCGTGAGGATTAAATGAGAGATTATACAGTACCTCTCGCACTTAAAGTGTGTAGATTCAGTGGCAAACGCTGTTACCTGCAAACCCCGTCCCACAGACTTTACAGTGAATGGCTTTAGTTATATTCATAGCGGACTTGGAAGCCACTGGAAGTCTTTTATCCACTCTTGGAAAAGTGTAAATAGTGGATTAACATTCAGCACATGATCTGTAATAAGATGTGCCATTATTAGTAACTGTAGGTGGATTCTAAAATAAAATCTGTCAGTGTTATTGTTATTCTCTCATGTTGAGCGCTTCACATTTTCGCGGTTGTAGCTCCTGTCGTCTGAAGGCAGAAGGCATAGACTGAGTGATTGACAGCTGATATTAACCAATCCATTCGCGTTCAGTTTTAGAGGAGTGGGCCAATAAGAAGAGCACAAAGGCGGGGCAACCATTGCAGGCCTTTTTTACTTCAGAAAGTTCACAAAACTGTTTTAATCTGTTCCTGAGTGCTGCGTTTAGCGTTTTTAGGTGCAAAGATTCATTCTGCATAAATGTCTCCTTAATCCGCACACACGGTGAGGATTTTGCCGTGAAAACAGTGAAAATTTATGCACTAGTACAAATGCTTCCAAATATATTTTAAGGTCGCATAGATAAATCTTGGGTGCATGTGCGACCTAAACGGTCGAGCCCTAGCATCTTTACTTGTTATTATTTCCTCATAATAATAATAATAAAATAAGAAAGTTATCATCAATCACAATTCAAATTATGGTGAACTCCAAACGAATTCTCGTCTCCTCCACCAGCTGTGGGGAAAAAGCCATTATAACGACACAGATCACTCTGCCTATTCATGCAGAGTCCTGCGGAAAAAAAGTGATTGACAGGTGTTTGATTTGTGTGTAAATTTATTTATTTATGGTTTGGTTATGGGTAAAGCAAAGACCATGTGGGTCAGGTAGTGAAAATGGTAGACTACAATTAATTAATTCAGTATGAATTATTTGATATTTAACAACCAGCCCCACTCCCACCTATGATGAAGATGGCATCGTCCATCGCGATGTTTCACATTAGACATTGTACGATGCCAGATTGGTCGACATCGCCCA